TATATCTCATTTTTTCTATGTGTTTCGCTTTTCTTCTTTATACTATGACTGCTATTCTAATAGCAAATCCTTCATAAAAGTTATTGCATTAGATTCTTGATTATCTTTCCATTGATATATAATTTTATGGTACTACTCTCCAAAAAAGTAGTGTCATTAGCTAGTTTTAGAAAATAAACTTTTCCCAAAAGGTTTCCACAATTTTGGCCACTACTATAGTAGTCAATGCATTGTTTGCCAAAAGCAATGCACTGCTCTAACATGTACAGAGGGTTTCTAATATCATTTGGTATTACCGAAAACATACAGTCCTGCTGCTAACAAACTATGATCCTGATAGAAGAGAATATTTGTAGTTTAAGGTTGCATTGTGGGGTCCTTGGTGCTCTGTGAGCTTTGTGGTTCTCTTGCAAATGTTTCATTACCATATTAGATAACATTATGATGTTTGGAAATGAAACTACCAAGCTCAGAGAGCACTAAGGACCCCACAAACCCATGATCAGTAATGGCCACTGACATGCACTGAAAATGGAGGAACTTGGAGCTTAGATTATACTATAAAAAGGTAAAGGTTCCCCTCGCACGTATGTGCTAGTCGTTCCCAACTCTAGGGGGTGGTGCTCATCTCTGATTCAAAGCTGAAGAGCCAGCACTGTCCAAAGACATCTCTGTGGTCATGTGGCTGGCATGATTAAATGCCAAAGGTGCACGGAACACTGTTACCTTCCCAACAAAGGTGGTTCCTATTTTTCAACTTGCATTTTTTACGTGCTTTCGAACTGCTAGGTTGGCAGAAGCTGGGACAAGTAACGGGAGCTTATCCCGTTATGTGGCACTAGGGATTCAAACCGCTGAACTGCTGACCTTTTGATCGACAAGCTCAGCATCTTAGCCACTGAGCCACCACGTCCCTCTAGATTATACTATAATGCTCTGAAAAAAAAAGGTTTCCCTCCCTCTTCTTCTTCCTGTTTCTGATTTTTCTTTCTTTCTTTTATCTCAGCACCCATCAACATCTCCACTCTCCTCAGGATGCCAGAATGAGATATGAGAACTTCACCATGGGAAAAGGGTTTATCCTTTTGGGACTTACCCATCAGCGAAATGAACAGATTTTGCTCTTCGTGACCTTCCTCATAATCTACTTGCTTACAGTATTGGGTAACCTATTGATCATCATACTGGTACGTTTTGATGCTCAACTACACACACCCATGTACTACTTCCTCAGCCATCTTGCTGGTACAGAGATTGTGTATGTCACTACTACTTTGCCTCAGACACTAGCCCATCTCTTGACTGGGAATGGAGTGCTTTCCTCGATACGTTGCATGTTACAAGGAGGCAGTGCGCTGAGCATGGGCAGTACTGAATGCCTGCTCTTGGGAGTCATGGCTTACGATCGCTACTTGGCCATCTGCAACCCCTTGAAATATGCTTCCGCCATGGACAAGAAGCTCCAACACCTGCTTGCCAGCTCCTGCTGGATCATAGGTTGCCTCTTCTCAATGGTCAATGCTGTTTGCATCTTCCGTCATTCTTTCTGTGGCCGTAATTCCATTAATCACTTCACGTGTGAGTTGCAATTCGTCCTGAAGCTGGCATGTGGCGATATAAAACGCACTGAAGCCATTCTCAATGGTTTGTCGGCATTTATTGTTCTGGTTCCCTTTTCCATTATTTTATGTTCCTATAGTTGCATCCTATATTCCATTTGTCAAATGCGGTCAGCTGCAGGTTGGCAGAAAGCTGTCTCCACCTGTGGTTCCCACCTTGTTGTGGTCACCTTGTTCTATGGTACCATCATCTCTATATACATAATCCCTCAATCAAATTTGTATCCTGACCGGGAGAAAAAAATTGCAGTCTTTTACATTGTGGTGACTCCGCTGCTTAACCCTATCATCTATACCCTGCGGAACAAGGATGTCCATAAGGCTATGAGTAAAGTGTTGAAAAGACACAGCTTTGAGAAAAAGCCATGAATATCCTTCTCTTTCTAAATTTGTCTGTTTTAACTAAAGTCTGCAATATGATCTTAATATTGCACCAAACATTTCCATTGTGGGGAGGTTCTTAATTGTCTGGAATGACATTTAAATCTGGATCTTCAAATGTTGCTTGGGAAAAAAGCCTCAGGAAAGCCTACAGGTAAACTTACAACTACAGACTTACAACTGTTTGTAATGGTTGTCATGAGCCATGATTGTGCAGTGGTTAGAATGCAGTAAAGGAGATTATGGAAAAAATGGAAAATACCATACAAGGGATGATGAGTTCAGACCAGGGGTGAAATCCAGCAGGTTCTGACAGGTTCTGGAGATCCGGTTGCGTAAATTTTGAGTAGTTTGGACAACCAGCAAATACCAGCTCTGGATGGCCCCAGAGTGGGGTGGGAATTTTGCAATATACTTCCCCCAGGAGTGGGATGGGAATGGAGATTTTGCAATATCCCTCCCCAAGGAGTGGGGAGGGAATGTAGATTTTGCAGTATCCTTCCCCTGCCATGCCCACCAAGTCACGCCCACCAAACCATGCCCACAGAACCTACATATCCTAAGTCCTTGCAAAGGAGTCATATAGATGGACAAAATGCTAAATCGAGCCTAAACATCTGGCTGACAGTGCAGCCAACTATAGAATACTGCTACAATTGTTTTAAGTAATACAATATTGTTTATAAATATTTGATCAAAAATTTCAATAAAAATATATTGTCTGTAAATGTAACAATGCAAAGCCACCTATGAGAATTCCAATAAAAACTCTTGAAGTACGCTTCTATATTTCTTCAGAAATTTAACACCAGTTTTATTCTGGAAAAGGAAAAAGGGGGGACAAAGAAGAATTCAAGATTTAAACAAACCTGATCACATACTGTGTGTGTGTGTGTGTGTGTATATATATATATATATAATATTTTGCTGACAAAGAAATAAAGGGAGACTAGTATAGATCTATTTCAAGCTTTTTAGCTCTCTTCAGCCAGCCATACCCTTACTTGGATTTGAACTTGGGCTGCCTGCATGTTAGGCAGTTGTATTAACCACTCAGCCACAAATTCTCCTCCTGTCATCAGCTTGAGCCAGGGGAAAGATTAAGTGTTTTTCTATTGAGACACCTGATCTGCCCCAACATGTGGGAGGGGGCATTCTGCTCCCTTTTGCCTTTCAGCTCCAATCCAGGAGCCCTCAAGCAGTCGCCAAGTGTTTACTGAGGTGTCTCAGTAAATACTTCACACACACACACACACACACACACACACACACATATATATACATATATAGAGAGAGAGAGAGGGAGGGAGGGAGGGAGGGAGTCTGTCACATGAACCTGGGACACTGCAACCCATCATAAATATGAACCAGCATCTGAATTTTGATCATGTAACCATGGGGATGCAATGGTTGTAAGTGTGAAAAATGTTCATAACTCACTAAATGGGTCTTTCTAAACTTAAGAAGCATTTTTTTCCCCTGAACATGGCTGTGGCAGACCATTACAACGCAATATGGTTGGAGTAGGAAGAATAAGACAACAGTATATGATACTGGAACTTGTAATCCTTTTGAAAAATGTTCTACACTCCATTGAGCCTGCTTAAATGGGAATGTGGAGATGGAAGTGCAGGTTGAATTTATTCAGTGTATTCCAATGTTTAATGCAGTGACTTGAAACCAGAACATATCAGAGGTGGGTTTTAGCAGGTTCTGACCAGTTCTGGAGAACCGGTAGCAGAAATTTTGAGTAGTTCTGAGAACTGGTAGTAAAAATTCTGACTGGCCCCACTCCCATCTATTCTTTGCTTCCCGAGTCCCAGCTGATCGGGAGGAAATGGGGATTTTGCAGTAACCTTCCCCTAGACTGGGGTCGGAGTGCAGATTTTACAGTATCCTTCTCCTGCCATGCCCACCAAGCATGCCCACCAAGCCATGCCACACCCAACTTCCCATTTACATTGACATATTCATGCCTCAGATTTTGGCAGACACATATGGTCAGGGGTGGGCTTCAAAAATTTTAGCAAAGGGTTCTCTGCCCAGTTGCTGGGTGGGCATAGCCATGGTGGGCATGGTCTAGTCGGCCCCCTGCACCATGGTGGGGGGTGTTTTTGCCCTCCTCGGGCTCCGGAGGCTTTCTCGAGCCTCTGGGAAGACGAAAATGGTCTCCCTAGGCTCCAGAAACCTCTGGAGGCTGGAAACTGGCCCATTTCCGGCCTTCCCAAACTTCCGGTAGGCCTGTTTTTCACCCTCCCTGAACCTCTGCATGTGCCCTGCACTTATCTGCATCCAAAACAGACTGCGTGGGGTCTCCTGGGAGGGGTGGGGTGGGATGGGCGGGGCCAGCCAGGAGTGGGATTTGGGGGTTCTCTGAACTGCACAAAATCTTAGCTAGAAGTTCTCCCAAACCCCTGTGAATCCCCAGCAGATCATGCCTGTGTATGATATGTAGTGGATTAACCGGTGTATCAGTGAAACAGGAATGACATGGCTGGATTTTAAAAATGCTTTTCAATCATTATGTCTCATTTCAAAAAAATATAGAATTAGATCTACATTATCTAGGCTTCATTCATCTAAATAGTCAAAAGATGATGGAAAAAGAGGTTCAGATATCTGTTTGGATACGTTCAAGTTACAGCGCATAATTGGTAGTTCTATATAAACGCAATATTTCCAGGTGATAATTCATGGCTAAAAGCCAGCAAGCAAAGAAATGGATAAACTGGAAATAGCTTGGAATTCAATACACTCTAGAATGTTCTACATCTTCAGTTCTGGAATTACCAGATTGCTGAACTAACATTCTGCAATCAGTCCTAGAACAGTGGAAGAAATAGGTTGAAAGGTTTTATTCTAAAATGGGTTCTACCACTTTGTTGAGATTGAGTCATTACCAAAAGAATTTCCGCAACAACAGAAGGATCTTAGAAGCTGATTTAATGCATTGTCCCAATTAATTATCCAGTATTGCTTTCGTCAACTTCCCTTTTAGGTTTCAGGAAGTTATTCAAAATCTTTATCAAAATGAAAGTTATTCAAAACCCTTAATTCCCATAAGAATTTTAGGTGGGAACTAATGGCCAACTGCATAAAGGACACACATCGAAAAGATGATCATTGTGAGTCCTCCATTAAATTTCCTTAGAGGTAAACTTTGCAAAATTCTAAAATTCTGAGGTAAATCAGCCCAATTCTGGAGAGCAGCAAACTTCATCAAATTTCAATTTTCTAGGTAGTCACTCACATACTTAATAGGTTTAAAGAACGAGAAAAATATTTATAATGACCTACTGAAGAGGACCAAGGGGAGCAGAGCAATTTCCATTTAGTGGGTCCCTTTCTGAGACCATTTTCATCTTATAATATAGAAGGGAGCTAGCATGCTTCCCAATTCTCTTCAGTCCCTGAATAGGTCCCAGTCCACTTCATAAAAGTGAAGTATATTTCAAGTTAAGTTCATCTCCAGCAGATTTAATTGATAACAGTTTCTTAGCAGTAGAATAGAAAAGTATTTTTTTTTCTTTGTGTCTCTTTTTCCAGACCACTTCTTTGACTTTCCACTCCAGATACAGCTCCAATTCTTTTAGGACATCAGGAAGATTTTTGGCTATGTATATGAGAGTTTCTGATGACCGTACCCAAAGATTTCCCTATATTTCAGCAACATTCCCTGGGAATTGTACTAGCAGCTGCCCCAGCTCTTATCCCTCTGTCTCAAAAGAAGCAGATCTCCCTGATAGCTGATGAAGTCCTGGGAGAAACACAGAGGTAGGTTTCTATTGTATTATTTTGATCAGTTTAAATCAGAAAAGTAAAACAAAAGTCAACAATAAATAAGTTTGGGGGAGAAGGAAGTAAAAAAAGTAATAAAGAAATAGTTTCCAATTTCCTTAACAGAGTTATAAATACTTATTTATTTTACCCTCAATGAAGTTACACCATATTTTCGGTCTTTCCAACAATCTACCCTTTCTAATCATTTAATCAATATTTCACCATTTTTCTAGCAAAAAGTCAATAAAGGGTTTCCCTGTTTCAATGGACTTATGTATGAGAACAAGGGAGAATTTAACAAAGAGACACAAATAACCATCTTAATTAAAAACAATTGTTCAACAAATTTTAAGAATTGTGAAATGATTTGTTATGGGTTATCAGTTTGTATATATCTATATTATTGGTAACTTTGAATGAATCAGATCCTAATTGTATTCTTTACCAAAGGAGAAAAAACTTCTTACAAAGATATTTAATGACATATATTTCTTCTGTGGAGGATATACATAATGGAAACTAGCGTGTCTTTTTGTCTGATCTTTACTGTCTTTTCCTCTGATCTTTGTCACTCTTGCTGAACATGGTATATAGCCCTGGTAGATATATTAGGCAGAAATTCCTGATTCTGTCAGATTCTGTAGGATCCTTGGTATGGAGTTTGCTGGTTTTCTTGCAGACATTTCATTACCAAACAAGGTAGCATCATCAGTTCTAGTCTGCAAGAATACCAGCAAGCACAGAGAGCACAAAACTCCACAGTTCAACCCTAAGATATAAATGATTTTTGATTCCATTAATGCATTGTATTCTGTTTTCTGTTTGGACGATAAATCAGCTATGAATCATTGCAACAATTGGGTTTTGTTATGACCATCTCAGGATAGGAATTGATTTATTATCTGGGAAATGCAGCATATTCTGATAATCTGTTGACAATATCTTTGGTACTGTTCTGTGTTAATACAGTAGTGTTGCCAGACAATCCAGATAGATGCAATGGAAATCAAAGCTGACTTTGTATTATAGTGGATTGGGTGTTCAGGTATCTCTTCCTCTTTCCTCTTCCCTATCAGTGTTTTGTGATTAAAGTCATTGTCCATCAATATCTGCAGGAACTGGGTATGTCTAGTTTAATGAAAAGAAGGACTAGAGGAGACATGATAGCAGTGTTCCAATATCTCAGGGGCTGCCACAAAGAAGAGGGAGTCAAGCTATTCTCCAAAGCACCTGAGGGTAGGACAAGAAGCAATGGGTGGAAACTAATCAAGGAGAGAAGCAACTTAGAACTAAGGGGAAATTTCCTGACAGAACAATTAATCAGTGGAACAACTTGCCTCCAGAAATTGTGAATGCTCCAACACTGGAAGTTTATAAGAAGATGTTGGATAACCATTTGTCTGAAGTGGTGTAAGGTTTCCTGCCTAAGCAGGGAGTTGGACTAGAAGACCTCCAAGGTCCTTTCCAACTCTGTTATTCTAAATTCTAAATCTCTGCTCTGTAGGCAAGATGCCAAGATGGGCGCTGAGAACTTCACTTCAGAAACAAGATTCATCCTCTTGGGACTCACCTCTCATCGAAAAGAACAAATTCTGGTCTTTGCAGTCTTCCTAACAATCTACCTGCTCACAATTTTGGGTAACCTGCTAATCATCCTATTGGTACACACCGATGCTCAACTGCACACACCTATGTACTTCTTTCTCAGCCATCTTGCAGGGCTAGATATTGTGTATGTCACTACCACTTTGCCTCAGACTTTAGCCCATCTCCTGGCTGGAAAAGGTATGCTTTCCTTGACATGTTGCATTTTACAGGGAGGCAGTGCTCTGAGCTTGGGTAGTACTGAATGTTTGCTATTGGGTGTCATGGCTTATGATCGCTACTTGGCCATCTGCAACCCCTTGAGATATGCCTCTTCCATGGACAGAAAGCACCAACATCTGCTTGCCATCTCCTGCTGGATCATAGGTGGCCTTTTCTCCACGGTCAATGTTGTTTTCATCCTTCATCATTCCTTCTGTGGTCCCAATCACATTAACCACTTTTTCTGTGAGCTGCGTTTTTTGCTAGATCTTGCATGTGATGATATCAAAGTCACCAAAGCCATTTTCAATAGTCTCTCAGCATTTATTGTTCTGGTTCCCTTTTGGGTGATCTTGTGCTCCTATAGTTGCATCCTGTATTCGATTTGTCAAATGCGGTCAGCTGCAAGGTGGCAGAAAGCTTTCTCCACCTGTGGTTCCCACCTGGTTTTGGTCACCTTGTTCTATGGTACCATCATGTTTATATATATAATCCCCCAATCAAGCTCATCTCCTGATAGGAACAAAAACGTTGCGGTTATGTACCTTGTGGTCACTCCCCTGCTTAACCCCATCATTTACACTTTGAGGAATAAGGATGTCCACAGGGCTGTGATCAAGGTGTTGAAAAGAAGGAACTTTGAAGAAAAACCATGAAGATTCTTATCCTGTGGAATTCATAACTTTTGACTCAAAACCTCTTCCTTAAAGTCACTATCAATATGTCACTAGAATGATCCAGCTGTTCATTTGTGAGAAGTTTGTGAAACATCAGATTATCAATTGACTGGGATACAATTTAATTCTGTTTCCTCTAACTTTGTTCAAAGGAAGTCTTGGGAGAAAAAGTAGAAAAATCTCAATCTCCCTTAATTATTGAAAAACTGTTGCAGAAAAAGTACTGCAGAACCCTGCATGCTGGCTGTTTTCTGAAGGGGCAAAAAAAAAAAAAAGATGGGAGGGGGACTTTATTAGGAAAAAATGTCAAGCAAATTTTCTTAGTTTGGTTTGACACTCAAAATAAAATAACATAGTGGTGCAAGGAATGTAGCTTTCTCAGCAGCCAGTGCAACTTAACGCAAATAATATGGTGTGAAACATTATAGCACAATGTGGTATCAGCAATAGTAGTAAAATATTTCTCCTTTTATACAATTGAACAGAAAAAAATATTGTCTGGGAGAGATAAACCTGGGAAATGCTGTATAGCAATTGCAATAGAAACTGTTGAAGCATACATCTAAAATTCTCCAGAAATCCAATATCAGTTTAGCTCTGGAAGTAAAGAAAAAGATAATGAGGAAATAGATGAGGAAGATTTATATCCAAATCCAACCACACAATGTACTGAACAATAATGTAAAAGGGACAATCGCCCTATTTGGCTCAGAAAACATATTTTTGCAGTTAAACCCACTGCATGCCCAAAATTTAAATTTTTAATTGGGATCATCTAAAACTCAAACAGAAGGGACACGGTGGCTCAGTGGCTAAGATGTTGAACTTGTCGATCAAAAGGTCAGCAGTTCAGCGGTTGAAATCCCTAGTGCTGCGTAACAGAGTGAGCTCCCATTACTTGTCCCAGTTTCTGCCAACCTTACAATTCAAAAGCATGTAAAAAATGCAAGTAGAAACATAGGAACCACCTTTGGTGGGAAGGTAACAGCGTTCCATGTGCCTTTGGTGTTTAGTTATGCCAGCCACATGACCACGGAAACGTCTTCAAATAGTGCTGGCTCTTCAGCTTTGAAACAGAGATGAGCACCACCCCCTAGAGTCGGGAACGACTAGTACATACCTGTATGTGTGAGGGAACCTTTACCTTTACCTTAAAACTCAAACATTTAGTTCTCAAAGGTCACCTAGATGTTAACTCATCTCTCTTTCTTCACAGAATGAATGTTTTTTTTTCTGCCTAACTGATATCCATAATCAGGGATCTCCCCAAATTTAAGGAAGGTTTTTGCTGACCAAGAATGGAGCAGAACATTGCAAGACAATATGACTGGAGCAGGCAGGCTGGCATGTTAAGGGAAAGGGATGGGAAACTGGAGCCCTAACTTCTTCTATCTGTACTACATCAAGTCTGCTGAAATAGGAACATTGAGATGGAAGGACACTTTGAACTTTTCTTGCCCACTGTTAAAAGCAAGGAAGCCAAAATATATTTCACAGTGACAATCCAGTTTGTGTTAATCGATTTATAACCAAGGAGAGTCCATCACCTTCTGGAGTAGAAATTGATATCCATCAAAGTCTAACAGGCAGGAGAAGTCTTTGGAGGTTGGAAAGACACTGCTGTGTTTCCATGGCTTTTCTTTTGCCAAGGAAAACTATTCTATTCATGATTTCCAAAACTTTGATTATGCCCCAGTTCTCAATTCATAGCCTACAGAAGTCTATCTTAAGGTGACTTTTTATAAGCATGATGCAGACTTCCTTCATCCTAACTTTATCATTATCTGGCAAGCATTCCTTTGACTGACTAATGTAATATATATTGCTCCATTGGTGAATGTGATTGATGACACACCCTGGGGGGAGGGAGGAAACAGGGTCATGATTAGGGCTGTGAATTACATGGGGTCAGAGTTGGGTTGCTGTCAGTGTTCCAATGGATGTCCTAATTAAATCATGAGCCTCGAGCCAATCTTCAAAAGAAATCCAGTTATTTATTAGGAGTGCCATGTCGGCACCTACGCAAATAAAGCCAACTCTGACCCCACGTAATTTACGGCCCTAATCATGACTCTGTTTTCCCCCTCCCGCAGGGTGTGTCATCAATCACATTCACCAACGGAATAATTTCGTGGGTTGTAAAGACCACTCCCCTCCATCTGCTCTCAGTAACCCTGGGAGAGAGCCTTGAGAAAGATATGTCTAGAATGTGCTCCTGTCTGTGGCTGCTGTGTTGCTTTGTCAGTTTCCTATCCCCCTTTGCCTATGGCAACTCGAGAGCAGGCCAGGGATGCTTTGTGAGTTGACACATACATGGTTAGAAAAAATGTTAAAACTATATATAATTATAAAACCAAAATATTTCTGTTAGGTATAGTACCAGAAAAGTATAATAAGGGGAATTTGTATTTCATATTACATGTTTTGATGGCAGCAAGAATTGTATTTGCACAAGTATTGGAAAAATGAGGAAACGCCAAGAGAAGAAGATGTAATTTTTTAAAAAATTAGATTGCACAGAAATTGATAGATTGTCATTAAAGATAAAAGAGAAGGAAGATTCAAAATACTTTCAAATATGAGATTCGTTTTCTAAATGGCTGGATAATAGAAGTAGAAATTAGGAACTGGGAAAGCATTAATATGTAAGCAATTGACCCAGACAATAAACTATTCATAAAGCACTTATGTAGATTAAATGAAAATGTATAAATAAACTATTAAAAAAAGAATATTAATTGGCAACTATTTTCCAACTGCAAAAGGGACACAAATAGAAAAAGTATGTGCAGTGCGCACCACACACCAAATGCGAGGTGCAGGCGCACCAGGGGTGAAATGCTCCTGGTTCAGACCGGATCACCTGATCCAGTAGCGATGGAGGCAGGTGGTTCGGAGAACTGCTAGCAAAAATCCCTGCCACACCCCCACACCCCCATGGCCAGCTGCACAATCATCAGAGGCTTTTAAAAAAACTTTTAAAAGCATTTTTTCTACAACCTCTTCGGCCGAAAAAATGCTTTTAAAAGTAAAAAAAAAGCCTCTGATGATCGTGTGGCTCAGCTGGGATCGTCAAAGGCTTTTAAAAGCATTTTTTCTACAATTTCTTCAGAGTGAAGAGGTTGTTAAAAAATGCTTTCAAAAGGCTCTGACGATCCCAGCTGAGTTGCCTAATCGGGAGAGGCATTTAAAAGAAAAAAAGCCTTTTTTTTCTTTTAAATGCCTCTGATGATCCAAGCTGAGTTGCCTGATCAGCAGAGGCTTTTTTTCTTTTAAATGCCTCTGACGATCCAAGCTCTTTGCCAAAGAGGTTGTAGAAAAAATGGTTTTAAAAGTAAAAAAAAAAAAAATTGGCCACACCCACCCAGTCACATTAGCCCCCACCACCACCAAGCCACGTCCACAGAACCGGTATTAACAAATTTTTGATTTCACCACTGGGGCACACGCACACACAGTGCACACCAAAAGGAGGCTTGGGAAGGTAAGTAGAACAGCACGTGGGTGGGGGTGATCAGCTGTGGTGCACAATTGTCAGAGCCTTTTTTTTTAACCTTTTAAATGCATTTTTTACTACCTATTCACCTGAGTGGGTAGAAAAAAAATGTATTTAAAAGGTAAAAAAAGAGGCTCCAATGATCGCGCGTCGCTCAGCTGATCATCGGAACTTTTTTTTTTTTTACTTTTTAGGCCATTTTTTACTAATGGTTCGGGCGAATAGGTAGTAAAAAATGCTTTAAAAAAGTAAAGAAAAAGGCTCCGATGATCGCGCACCACAGCTGTGATCGTCAGAGCCTTTTTTACCTTTTAAAAGCATTTTTTTACTACCGGCAAATAGGTAGTAAAAAAAAATGCTTTAAAAAAGTTAAAAAGGGGGGGGTGTCTGATGATCGTGTGCCACAGCCGTGATTGTTGGAAATTTTTTTTTACTTTTTTAAAGCATTTTTTACTACCTATTTGCCCAAACCATTAATAAAAAAAAATGCCTAAAAAGTAAAAAAAAAAAAAAAAAGTTCTGATGATCAGCTGAGCGACACACGATCGTCAGAACTTATTTCATTTACTTTTTAAAGCATTTTTAACTATCGGTTCCAGAGAACTGGTAGTATAAAATGCTTAAAAAGTTTTTTTAAAAAAGTTCTAACAATCGCGCATCGCTCAGCTGATCGTCAAAACTTTTTTTTTTTACATTTTTTACTACTGGTTCGGGCGAACTGGACTGAACCGGTAGCATTTCATCCCTGCTATGTGTCCTCCATGGCCTTTTCTTAAGGCTAATCTTTGGAAAGTTCTCACGTTCTGGGAAAAGGCAGCAGTTAAAGGTTTCTTCTGCCTAGTTTCAGTAAAAACCTGTGTTCCTCCATGGAGCAAGGTCTGCCACATTTCAAACTTCAATTCATTATGAGGTCTAAAGAAGGAGCATAATGTTTATAATGATCTACTGAAGAGGACCAAGGGGAGTGGAGCAATTTCCATTAAGTGGCTCTCTAGCTGATAAAATCTTCCCTTATATTAAAGAAGGAAGATAACATGTTCCCACTTCTCTTCAGGTCCTGAATAATTGCTTCATAAAGATATAGTACGTTTCAAATTGAATTCATCTCCTCTGGACTTAATTGACATAGTTTTATTGGCAATCAAAGAGAATTTTCTTTCTTTCTCTCTCTTTTTCCAGTATGTTTCTTTGACTTCCAAGTCCAGCTATGGCCTCATTTCTATTAGGTTACCAGGAATCTACATCTCATGTACAGCAGCCAAAAAGCTTCCAAAAAGCAAGACCTGGAGTAGCTGTTCAGTTGTACAATTCTCAGTGAATGATGTGAATGGTAAAGGTAAAGCTCTTGTCCTGCCCTCAGGTCCTTTGGAGAATAGATTGACTCCCTCTTCTTTGTAGCAGCCTCTGAGATATTGGAACACTGCTATCATGTCTCCCCTGGCCCTTTTTTTCATTAAACTAGACATATCCAGTTGTCTATGTGTGGTTCCCCTTGCACATATGTGCTAGTTGTTCCACATTCTTGGGGGTGGTGCTCATCTCTGTTTCAAAGCCAAAGAGCCAGCCCTGTGGTCCCTATTTTTCTATTTGCATTTTTTACATGCTTCGAACTGCTAGGTTAGCAGAAGCTGGGACAAGTAACGGGAGCTCACCCCGTTTTGCGGCACTAGGGATTCAAACTGCTGAACTGCCAACCTTTGATTAACAAGCTCAGCATCATAGCCATGACCCACCACATCCCTTACTGAATGATGCCTAAACATAGTCAAATCATATCATTTCAGAACCCCTTGAGATATTGTGACCATAATTCACTCATAATAGTAGGGTCAATTGAATAGATCTTAGAATCTATGATCCTTATAGGGTCATAAGACAATCTAAGAAACCCATAAGTAACAGTTTAGTTAGTGTATAAGATAAAGGAACAGTTCAAAAGATTTTGAGAACTTTGAAATGATTGGTTTATAGGTCTCTATGTTATTGGTAACTTTGAATGAAGAGGATACTAATTGCTCAAAGGCAAATGACTTTTATGAAACTGCACTAGGACATATATTCATTCTGTGGAGGTTTCAGGTAAAGGAAGCCAATGTCCCATATTACTTCTTACTGTCCTTCCATCTGACGTTTGTCACTCTTGCTAAAAATGGTCTCTAGCCTTCCCACAGGTAGTAGGAAGAAATTCCAGATTCTACTAATGCATTGATTTCTGTTTGGAGGATAAATCGTGTATGAATCATTCCAACATTCAAGTTTAATAACAACAATCCAAGATAGGAGTTGAATCATTGTTTGGTTAATGCACCACATAGTGATAATCTATTGGCAATGTCTTTGGTAGTGTTCTGTAGTAATCAAAAGATACAGTAGTGTTGAAGAATCCAGGTACACAGATGCATTGCAAATCAAGGATCTCTAAGCTGACATTGCATTATAATGGACTGGATAAGATTTCTCTCCCTCCTGTCTTAGTGTTTTGCAATTAAAGTTATTGTCCATCAATATCTCTGCTCTGTAGGCAAGATGCCAAGATGAGCGCTGAGAACTTCACTTCGGAAAAAGGGTTCATCCTCTTGGGATTCACCTCTCAGAGAAAAGAACAAATGCTGCTCTTTGTGGTCTTCCTAACAATCTACTTGCTCACAATTTTGGGTAACCTGCTCATTATCCTATTGGTACACACAGATGCCCAACTGCACATACCTATGTACTTCTTTCTCAGCCATCTTGCAGGGCTGGATATTGTGTATGTCACTGGAACTTTGCCTCAGACTTTAGCCCATCTCTTGGTTGGAAACGGAGTGCTTTCCTTGACACGTTGCATACTGCAGGGTTCCATTGGATTGTGCCTGGGCAGCATTGAATGTTTATTATTGGGTGTCATGGCGTATGATCGCTATTTGGCCATCTGCAACCCTTTGAGATATGTCTCTGCCATGGACAGAAAGCATTGCCATTTGCTTGCCACCTCCTGCTGGATCATAGGTGGCCTTTTCTCCATGGTCAACGTTGTTTGCATCTTTCGCCATTCCTTCTGTGGTCCCTATTACATTAACCATTTTGTCTGTGAGCTGCAATTTTTGTTAGATCTTGCATGTGATGATATAAAACTAACCAAAGTCATTCTTAATGGTCTATCAGCATTTATAGTTCTGATCCCCTTTTTGGTTATCTTGTGTTCCTATATTTGCATCCTGCATTCAGTTTTTCGAATGCAGTCAGTTGCAGGACGTTATAAGGTTTTCTCCACCTGTGGCTCCCACCTTGCTGTGGTCACCTTGTTCTATGGTACCATCATCTCTATATACATAATCCCTCAATCAAGCTCATTTTCTGATAGGAACAAAAACATTACAGTTGTGTATCTTGTGGTCACTCCCCTGCTTAACCCCATCATTTACACTTTGCGGAATAAGGATGTCCACAGAGCTGTGATCAAGGTGTGGAAAAGAAGGAACTTGGAAGAAAAACCACGAAGACTCTCATCTTGTTGAAATTCATCTCTTTTGACTTAACAGTTATTATTTAAAGTCAATATCGATATTTTACTAAAATAATTCAGCTGTTTATTTGTGAGAAGTTTCTGAAACATCATACATGATTATCAGTTGACTGGAATGCAATTTAACTCTGATTCCTCTAACTTTGTTCTTTTTTTATTATTATTATTATTTTTAAAATCAGTTTATTACAATCTTAGACCAGAGACCATAAGAAATAAAAACATTCAGTAAATATACAATTAAAAATTCTAGTGAGGTAAAGGTAAAGGTTCCCCACACACATATGTGCTAGTCGGTTCCCAACTCTAGGGGGCGGTGCTCATTTCCATTTCAAAGCTGAAGAGCCAACGCTGTCAGAAGACATTTCCGTGGTCTTGTGGCCAGCATGACTAAACGCCAAAGGCACACGGAATGCTGTTGCCTTCCCACCAAAGGTGGTCCCTATTTTTCTACTTGCATTTTTTACGTGCTTTCAAACTGCTAGGTTGGGACAAGTAATGGGAGCTCATCCTGTTACATGGCACTAGGGATTCGAACCGTTGAACTGCCGAACTTTCAATTGACAAGCTCAGTGTCTTAGCCACTGAGCCACCACATTGCTTGTAAAATTCTAGTAAAAAATAATAAATAACAACTAAATCTATAATAAAATCCATTCTGTCAATTATACATGGTCTAACTACATAAAAATTACAATCCATAAACTGTGTAGCCTGTTGTAGGTTAAAACGCTAAAAGGGAAAGGACTAAGGGTTTGCCACATTTGTTATGTAACATAACTATGGTGGAGAAGACATGTGTTTGAGACAAATTCCCAGTGCTGCTGCGCAGAATCTGGTCACTTTGTACAAAGAAAGGCTTGGAATAATAAGCTAAGAAATCTCAATCTCTTTTAATTATGAAAAGCTGCTGCAGCAAAGATATTGCAGAATCTTTCATATTCTGATAGGGTAAGAAAAGTGGGATAATATTAAGAGACATCTTCAGGCAAATGTTATTAATTTGGTTGAAACTCACAATAAAATTATTTATTTATTTATTTATTTATTTGTTCAGTTTGTCAAAAATATACGAGATAACAGGTATACGTATAAACATGGACATGAGCACATGAAATGGGTACAAATAATAGGGACAGTAGGACAGGGATGGTAGGCACGCTGGTGCACTATGCACGCCCCCTTTATGGACCTCTTAGGAATGGGGTGAGGTCCACGGGAGACAGTTTAAGATTGAAGCTATGGCTGTTTGAGGCAATAACAACAGAGTCAGGTATAGGCATTAACCACCCTGAAGTCGTATTTTCTGCAATCGAGTTCAGAGCGGTTTACATTGAGTTTGTATCTATTGTGGGCAATAATGTATTATTGCAGTTGAAGCTGAAGTAGTCATTGACAGGTAGGACATTGTAGCAGAAACTTTTGTGTACTATGCTTAGGTCAGACTGTAGGCGGCGTACTTCCAGGTTGTCCAAGCCCAAAATTTCAAGCCTCATTGCATAAGGTATTCTATTGTGAGCAAAGGAGTGGAGCATTACTTTTCCATAATTGTATAAACTAGCCATTTCTATAACAACAAATGAATCAAATCAATAAAACCCAAAATCAACATTTCATTTTTTTCCCACCTCAAGCAGAAAGTCCAGAAGTGGTTTCCAAGTAGCAACAAAAGTACTTATATTCTTTTCTTTGATCAAAATGGTCAATTTAAACATTTCTGCCAACTCCATCAGCTTCTATAGCCATTCGTCTATGGTGGAAATCAAAATATCCTTCCATTTTTGTGCTTATAGTAGTCCTGCTGCCGTCAATATATATAAGATAAAAGTTCCAATTTTTCCCCAAGTCTTTTTCCATTAAATCCAAAAGAAAAGTTTCCAGTTTCATCTTTATTTTCACTTTAAGACTATTCTGTATTAAAATATGAATCCTACTCCAATATTCAACCACACATTTAACAATGCTGTCCTGAACTATAATATAAAAGGCACACTCACACAATTTTGCTGTGTATGCTCATAGACAAATACATCTGCAGTTAAAACCTTTGTATGCTCAAAATGTAAGATTTAAATTGGGACCATCTAAAACTCAAGCAGTTGGTTCCTAAAAGCCCAATTGTTATCTCGTCTCATCTCCTTCACTGAAGGAGATTTTAGAATTCATTTTCTAAATCTTCTGCTTCCTGACATTCTCAATTAGGGATCTTCCCAAATTTATGGAAAGATTTTGCTGTCCAGTATCGGAGGCAGAACATTGCAAGACAATATGGCTGGAGCAGGGAGGCTGGCATGTTAAGGGATGTGAAATCAGAGCACTAACTTCTTCTATCAGCATCTGTGTACTTCATCGAGTCTGCTGAAATGGGAACATTGAGATGGAAGGCAACTTTGAACTTTTCCTGTCCACTGTTAAAAACAAGGAAGCCAAAGTATATTTCATAGTAGCAACCCAGGTTGTGTTAATCAATCTATAACAAAGTGGAGTCCACTTTGTTTCTGGAGCAGAAATTGATTTTCCTCCAATTCAAACAGTCTTTAGAGGTTGGAAAGATGCTGCTATGTTTCCATGGCTTATTCTATCCTATTCGTAATTTCCAAAGAGCTTAACCTTTATCCCTTTTTTATACATAGCCCGTAGAAGTCTATATTTAGGTGGCATTCTTTAATATGTATTATACAGACTTCTTTCATCCTAACTTGATCGGTAGCTGGGAAGGAGTCCTTTGACTGACATAATGTGTATGCAAGAAAACAAAATAATGTTATGTTGTATATTGTAAATATTTGTATTATAAACTGCCCACAGCTACCTTATGCTTAGATGGGTAGTCAAGAAATTTAATAAAACAAATAAATAAAATAAACATTTTTTCTTTATGATTGTGTTTTAATAGTTAAAAATAAATTTATTTAATTTCTTATTTTTCTTTCTTTATTTTTTTTTAAATATTTGATTTTGACTAAATGCTGGACAAAGACCACTATATTTTAAAATGATATTTATTTCATATAAAGGGAAACTTATTAAAGGAATCTAACAAGTCCAGCAACATTTGTACATGCTGTGGTAAACTTATAAAATATTGGCCTATTATGTTTTGCAAAAAGGATCATTAATTCCCAAATTAAATCAAAGGTAACTTTTCTGGTACATCCCATAAAATAATTTCTCTTTCTTTGTTTCAGATTACAGGAGTTTTGGCTAAGAAGCAACTGATATATATATGTGTGTGTGTACACACACACACACACACACACACACACACACACACACACACACACATATATATATATATATATATATATATATATATATATATATATATATACTTTGGTTATTCGGGTTTTCTCCCACGTAAAATTGGAATGTGTGATCGCAGCTGTTTCTTCCTTTTAACTGCCAGTGGGGGTGTGAACTGATTGGGTGGGAGCTTGGCTGTGTTCTGATTGGGTGGAGATGTGTTCTGATTTGTTTGGGGCTTGCCTGTGCTCTGATTCGATGGGGGGTTGGCTGTGCTCTGATTGGCTGGGTGTGTGTTCTGTTTAGGTGGGGGCTTGGTTGTGCTTGGGTTAGTCTGAGTTGCAGGGGGATTTGAGCTGGTGAGGTGCGTTGCTGTTGTTTGGCTTCGCGTTCGTGGTCATGCCACATCTTCATGGTGGGTGTCAGTTTGCTTCATGTATGGATTGGAGGGGTTTAAAGTGGCTAATGATGCAGCTGTGGTCTGGCCTCTGGTTTGTGGTCGTGCCGCATCGGTGTGGTTTGGGTTTGCTTTTTGCGTGGATGGTGACATCGTGAGTGTGGGTTTGGTGTCATTCTTTTTGTTAGGGACTCATTTATCAATAAGGGCGGGTTTCCAAATGGCTGGTAGGAGGGAGGTATCATCTCGTTTATTCATGCTGTGTGGGCGTTTTTCTATCTCGATGGCTTCTCTGATTATTCTGTTGTTAAAGTGTTCAGTTTTGGCGATAGTTCTGGTCTTTTTAAAGTCAATTTCATGTCCTGTGGCTTTAAGATGTTGGACCAGGGAAGAAGTTGGTTCCTCTTTTCTGACTGAGTTCTTGTGTTCTTCAATGCGTGCACTTATTCTTCTGTTGGTTTGTCAGATGTATGTGGTGGGGCAGGCGGTGCATGGGATTTCATATACTCCTTGATTTTCTAACTCAATTTTGTCTTTGGGGTTTCTTAGGATGGTGGATATTTTTTGGTTTGTGCAGAATGCTGTCTTGATGTTGTGTTTGTGACAGCATTCTGTGTTGAGAGTCTTTAACATGATTGTGTGGCAATAAAGTTTCTATTTGAGACTCTTCACTAATGGCTGTGGTTGGTTTCACCTGACAATCATGGATATATTTTTTTCTGAGAGAAATCTCATGAAAATTGAAAAAATCATCTTAATGTGACTGAATGTTTAGTAAGAGACATATATTTTCCCTCCTATTTAGTCAGCATTATCAGGACAATCATTCTAAATCATCATATTTGATTTAGGTAAATATAATATCAGAAGCCATTTGTCCATATCTGTATTCCCCTCTTAATTAGTGTTGTTAATTTTGAATTTCAAAAACTTTTCATCATCCATATTTACTTGGAAACCATCTCATAGCAACCCCAAAGATTTAACACAAATTGATTAGGTGAAGATTTATTTTCTTTAAACCCCATAACATTAATTAAGCGGTTCAAAGAAAGAACAAAACATTTATAATGATTTACTGAAAAGGATCAAGGGGAAATGAATAATTTCCATTAAGTGGGCCTCTAGTTGATAAAAGCTCCCCTTATATTAATGAAGAAAAATAACATGTTTCCACATGTTCAGGTACCTGAATAATTGCTTCATAAAGGTAAAGTATGTTTCAAGTTCAATTCTGCTCCTGTGGATTTAACTGACACCATATTGTTGCCAATCAAAGATGATATAGAATAGAATAGAATAACAGAGTTGGAAGGGACCTTAGAGGCCTTCTAGTCCAACCCCCTGCTTGG